AAAGAAGTCAACAGGGAGGTCAAGAGGGCCATTAAAGCTGCTAAACTGAAATATAAAAACAATGTGGGAAAAAAAATTACCACAGGGGACCTTCGCTCAGCCTGGCAGGGGCTCAAAACCATGGCTGCTGTGAATACTGTGGTCACCGCCTCCAGAACCATCCAGGTGGAGGGCAGCAACTCCTCCTCCCTCCCGGACGACCTCAACACTTTCTACACCAGGTTTGAGACAGACAATATCACCCAGCTTGAGGAGTCCAGATCCTCACTCAAACCTGGCAGCTCTGCACTCACCTTCCAGACCGAGGACGTGGTGAGAGCCCTCAGGAGGACCAGGGAGAGGAGCTCACCCGGCCCTGACAACATCTGTAGTAGAGTTCTGAGGCACTATGCAGAGCAGCTAGGAAGTGTGTTCCAGACCCTATTTCAACACTCACTTGACAGTCACACCGTCCCCCAGCGTGGAAACACTCCACAGCTATCCCTGTCCCGAAAAAAAGCAACCCAAAGTCTCCTAATGATCTTGGTCCTGTAGCGCTAACCTCCTTGGTGATGAAGGCCATGGAGAAGATCATAAAAGAGCACATTGTGAGAGCAACTGAGCCCCTGATGGATCCACTCCAGTTTGCTTATCGTGCACTCAGAGGCGCCGATGATGCAAAAATCTTCATCCTGGACTCCATCCACAAACATCTGGAGCTCCCCGACTCCTTCGCCAGACTTCTGTTTGTTGACTTTTCATCAGCATTCAACACTCTGCAGCCTCACATCCTGGCTACTAAACTTTCCTCCCAATTTCATTTAGATGACCAGTTAACCTTGTGGACTTTTCAACCAGCAGGACTCAGAAAGTTTGGGTCAACAACTGTCTCTCCGGTCTCCGTTCCACCTCCACCGGCTCCCCCCAGGGCTGTGTGCTCTCCCCCCGCTCTACATCCTCTACACCGACGACTGCAGATCCACACATCCCAACTGTCACCTGGTGAAATACGCTGATGATACAGTCCTCCTATCACTGCTGTCAGGCTCCTCACAACACCACAGACCTGCTCTTCAAGAGTTTGTAGAATGGTGTGACAGCTCCAAACTTGAACTGAATGTGAGCAAAACCAAAGACATGGTGGTGACCTTCTGCAGAAGGCAGAGGGATCCGGCTGCTTCAGTAACCACCATTATCCACGGGAACCCAGTGGAGGTAGTGGAGGAGTACAAGTATCTGGGAACCACCTTTGACAACCTCCTGAAATTCTCTGCTCATGCGTACACTGTGCGACTTTTTCACTTTTTTGAGCCGATTTTCCAGTCGTGCGAGAAGCCACGACATCGGGGCGAGTTTTGCGCCGAGCGGTCGTGTAGTGTACAGGGGGTTACGAGAGGCGATTAACACCACGTGACCAGCCGCCGATCAGCAGTCGTGAGGTCGCACGGACTTCTGGTGTGTTTAATATTTCGCTCGTCCCTCGTGAGGGTATCGCACTGTTGAAGCGGCGCTGCGAGCAGCTGCGAGCAGCTACGATCCAAAAAGTATCAGAACCGCTCACGGCGCATGCGCGCGCAATCCTGCATCAACGCCGGCCGGTCGCTCGCTATTTCCCTAATAACACACGCTGTTCGTTTTTGTTTCTACACGTTTTTTTTACTCACAAAGATTGTCAAGAAAGCGTGTTTGTCGTGTTCATGTCAAATTAAACTGATCACAAAACACAGATTCACTTTCTTGATTTCGTTTTCCTCATCCAACCCCCATAAATCCCTGTGTGTCCTCCTGCAGCACTCCCGAAGAACAACAGGCAAGACAAAAAAGTCTGACGTGTTGAGTAAAAACTGCTATTTTTAGCACATTTTTAGGGCCGACGTGTTGCTACCAGACGTACAGTGTGAGCAGTCAGGTCGCGTCCGAGAACTGGGTCGTACAGTGTGAGCGCATGACTCGTGAGATCTGCCCTGCGAGGAAGTCGTACAGTTTGAGCTGAAGCTGAACGCTGCGAGTGAAAAAGTCGCACAGTTTACGCCCGGCAACACAGAAGAGATTCTCAGAAAGTACCATCAACGGTTATATCTCCTTAGGAAGCTCAACTCCTTTGGAGTCAGATCCTCAGTCATGACTTTTTACTGTGCCTTCCTGGAAAGCATCATGACCTTCTCCATCACTTGCTGGTTCTACTCTCTTAGCCTCCAGAACAGGAACAGACTGCAGCACACTGCATCAGTGTGTTCCAAAATCGTTGGTCTGCCTGTCAGAACTCTTGCTCAGGTTTTCTATCAACAAGCCCTGAGACAGGCAGCCAAAATCCTCCACAACCCCTCTCACATTCTTCACCCCGCATTTCAATGGCTCCCCTCTGGGCGACGCCTACGCTGCATTTCCTGCAAGACTGAGAGAAGAGCCACCTTTGTCCCCAAAGCCATTCTGCTCTTTAACTCCAGCAGATAAGATAAGACCATCCCCCGATAAAGCCTCTCCTTGGGCTCTCTATATATTTAACTTTTATACAGACACTTTAGTCACTTTATTCACATACTCAGTGATTTTTGCATACTTTACCGTTTTATCCATCTTCTTGCTGCTTTATTACTTCCTTATTGCCTATTTATTCAATGTTCGTATGTCCAACATCATGCTGCTCTGCTGTTATTTTTTTAAATTGCCCCTCGGGGATAAATAAAGTTTTTCTGATTCTGATAACTGCAATAAAGCGTTTGCGATAACTTGCTACGAGTCTTTTACATCACTCTGGAGGAATTTTGGCCCACTCATCTTTGGAGAATTGTTGTAATTCAGCTTTATTTGAGGGTTTTCTAGCATGAACCACCTTTTTAAGGTCATGCCATAGCATCTCAATAGGATTTAGGTCAGAACTTTGACTAGGCCACTCCAAAGTCTTCATTTTGTTGTTCTTCAGCCATTCAGAGGTGGATTTGCTGGTGTGTTTTGGGTCATTGTCCTGCTGCAGCACCCAAGATCGCTTCAGCATTAGTTGACGAACAGATGACCGGACATTCTCCTTCAGGATGTGTTGGTAGACAGTTGAATTCATGGTTCCATTTATCACAGCAAGCCTTCCAATTCCTGAAGCAGCAAAACAAACCCTGACCATCACTACCACCACATTTTACTGGTGAAATACGCTTTGCCTTCCAAAAAGTTCAACTTTTGTCTCATCAGTCCACAAGGTATTTTCCCAAAAGTCTTGGCAATCATTGAGATGTTTCTTAGCAAAACTGAGACGAACCCTAATGTTCTTTTTGCTTAACAGTGGTTTGCGTCTTGGAAATCTGCCATGCAGGCCATTTTTGCCCAGTCTCTTTCTTATGGTGGAGTCGTGAACACTGACCTTAATTGAGGCAAGTGAGGCCTGCAGTTCTTTAGTTGTCCTGGGGTCTTTTTGTGACCTCTCGGATGAGTTGTCTCTGCGCTCTTGGGGTAATTTTGGTCGGCCGCCCACTCCTAGGAAGGTTCACCACTGTTGCATGTTGTTGCCATTTGTGGATAATGGCTCTCACTGTGGTTCACTGGAGTCCCAAAGCTTTAGAAATGGCTTTATAACCTTTACCAGACTGATAGATCTCAATTACTTTTGTTCTCATTTGTTCTTGAATTTCTTTGGATCTTGGCATGATGCCTAGCTTTTGAGGTGCTTTTGGTCTACTTCTCTGTGTCAGGCAGCTCATATTAACGTGATTTCTTGATTGAAACAGGTGTGGCAGTAATCAGGCTTGGGGGTGGCTACAGAAATTGAACTCAGGTGTGAAACACCACAGTTGGGTTTAACAAGGGGGACAATTACTTTTTCACACAGGGCAATGTAGGTTTGGATTTTGTTCTCTCCCTAAATAATAAAAACCATCATTTCAAAACCTCTTCTATATTCCATATTAACTTATTTGCCAGCTGTTTTCTGATCAGAAAGCCCCTGACTGCCTGTGTTTGAGTATTTTTACTTAAATTTATTTTTGTGGAAGAGCTCAGAATATTGTGCTCTGACCTTGTAAACACCCAAACTACCAAGAGTAGATTCACTTACATCAGAATTGGTTTGTTTCTGGCTTTTTCCATTCTTTCACAATCTGTTAAAGTGAGCTTCCGGTTTGGGCTTCGCTTTAGGCATAGCAGTGTCCCAAAATGATCTAATTCGTGGATTTTCTGCTTCCTGATCATGTGACGTGTGACACACATGGGTGAAGATCAACTTTAGAGCCGGGATTACTCTTACGGTGTGCAAGCTTGTTTCCAAGCCTGACCCATTAAACTGAATTGATGATTTTGTCAATGGCAGCAAGCGGTTGGATTTTAAATGACAACTTTGGACATGCCCGTTAAACCTGACCAGGGAGATGTCCAGGAGGCATCCTAATCAGATGCCAAAGCCACCTCAACTGGCTCCTCTCGAAGTGGAGGAGCAGCAGATCTACTGCAAGCCCCTTGTAAGGGTTTAATTTACATCTATTTAATGAACCATAAGACATGAGATATATGAGAGACATCCAAGTTTATTGCTGATGCACCTTTTGGCCCCCTCCAGAAAATACTCAGGACCCACCACTGCTCAAAGCTGAACTAAAATGAGCTCTCAATTCAAGAGACACCTTCAGCATGGAGTGAAATAGGCAAGCTGGCAGACAAGTGCACCCGTTAATGACCCTGTCCCACCTTCATGCCAGCTCGACTCAAAAACAAGGCCACAGCTTTGTGCTACCATCACCCAAATAAGGTTGCTTAAGAAAAAAAAAAAAGTTAATCACCCCAAATGACATTTGGCTTGCATTACTGTCCTGCAACTGTGGATAATCACCCAATATTCACTTAACAGGTCCTACCAACACGTTTAAAAAAAAAAAAAAAAAAAAAAAAACTTAACCACAAACGAGCTGCATGTTTAGTTTAACTGGGATATTCCACTGCAGGATGGTTTGTGAGCTTTTAAAATTAACACAAGACAATTGAGGATTAGATTAAGGATTAAAGAATTTAGGGGGAAATAAAAATCCAGCCACAAGACATTTGAAAAGATTTAAGTTTATTTAATTACAATCAGAAGTACCAAGTTACATAAATTTCAGAAATGCAAAATAAAAACATTTTGTGACAAAAAAGATGGCAAACATTAATGAACAATTTTCTTTAAAAAAAGGCACATTTCTAGAACGGGACAGTATTGCATGCACAAAATGCTACAGTCTAATAGGCGTTACAACTTTCACAATTCAGTGGTTGAGTTCCTGATATACTCAGTACAGAAATATTTCTTTAATTATTGCTAAGTAAGAGTGAACTATGTGCGTGTATTCTTAAGTATTAAAGCAGCATCACACTGAAGCCAAACACTTGTATTAAATCACCTGAAATGTGTAGTTTGCATAATTTTAGATGAGCAACAATGTAGTCTCTCCAGTTTCAATAGACTCACTGAAACAGAAGTGTCTTAAAAGCAGGGTCAGTTTTGACATCGTCAGAATTAAAGATTTAAAATGGGCTAAATACGGTGAAATTGTGCAGTCCTACAAAAAATGTATATGCTGGAACATTTTAAACCAACTTCCTGTAACATTTTTAAAACCTTAAATGTACATCCTTTATAATAAGTCGTAAAATAATTTGCATCAAGAATCAATTCAACTTTTGACGTGAGTCCATACACCATTAAAATATACAGTAGTTTCACCTGAAATCAAGTGTTTACAAAAAATATATATTCAACCTTATTTGGCCCATTTGGTGACTCAAACTAGTTTAACCCCAAAATTAAAGCAGGAGTTTGACAGAATTGATGACCAAATGAACTAACCTGCCACTACCTGGCCAAGTCCCAAAGGTCATCCATACTATTCCAAGTCCTCATCAAGTCATCTTACATGAATCCCCACCATTTGTGCACCAGCAGATCATCATAGCCTGTATCCAGGAGGCGATTGCCACACTCCTCCCAGCGACACACTTCATCCTTGTCCACCACCACGAACTTCCACTCTACATGGCTCTCTGTAGGCAGGCTAACCACAGTGGACCAGTGCCCATCATTTGCTTTTTCCAAGAGTATAAATTCCTTCCAGTTTCCCAGCTCCTGCATGTTACCCATAATGGCCACCTTCTGGTATGGAGAGTGGGTAAGATAGTGAATGCGAAAGGTCACGTTGACATTTTGGGGCATTGGCTGGACTGCCACAATATCTTTGTCATTTCCATCAAGCAGAGTGTTGGTCTGGGTCACTTCGATAGATGGCACAGAGTCCGTGTTTCTACAAGGAGAATTACTGGGAACCAAGCTTGGAGGTTCTGAAGAAACTTTGTCAGGTTGCTTGCTATAGTGAACAGATGCAGTATAAAGGCCCATCCAAGGCAGGACTTGAACATTTCCATCTGTGATCCACTCATTGTTGTCCATAGTTGCCTCCATTATGCTAATTTCAGTTGTTTTGTCCCCTTCACTTTCCACTGCTAGTTTTACCTCAGTCTCACCAAGTTCAGTCAAGTTGGCATAACCAGTTGAGATCTGAATCGCGAACTGGTCCACTTCCTTGGTCTCCTGAGAAAACATGAACTCATTTGTTATGGAAACATTCTCCTTAACTTCTGTGCTTGCTTGCTGAGAAAGATCCAACGAGGAAGATGTCACAGTTTTTACCAAACTATCATGATTGACAGATTGAGCATCAGAGAACGTGCCTTGAGCCTCAATGTGCTCTTCTGAATCTGGATAAGGATCGGCTACAGAGAGCACTAAACAGTCATCCTCCGTGTCTACTTCAGGCAAGTCAGGACTAACGGTCATACTTGAAATCCCACTTTCTTCACCAACAGCAGACGATGACCATGTGAGCTCACTTTGATCACAAGACAGCAGATGAATATGGCAGCTCTGTGCCTTTATGCCCTCATCCATGTCTGGGACAGCAGCAGAAGAAACTTCTGAAAGGTCTTCGCTCATGTCAGTCTGGTCACTTTCTTTCCTTTGGAAGGAAGACATGTCAGGATTAACCATGTCTGCAGATGTCAGAGGGGCAGAAGAACTAGGTGGTTCATTAACAGCTGTTTCAAGACCTCTGTAGGATGAGGACACAGAATCCTCGCTTTTTTCAAAAACCACCACATCAGAGTCCATTTCACTGCTGCTCTTAAGACCTTCACCATTACATTTAAGACCACTTAGACCCACACTTTCAGTTAACTTTGAGACTACTGCATCTTCATCTTCCTTTTCCGTTTGTAGAGGAGTTGATGGCAAGTCAGTTTGTGCAGCAGATTGGACTTGCTCTTGGGTAGTTTCTGAATCAACTGACAGATTCAGACCAGGAACAGTTTTGAGCAATTCAGACCCTTTCTCATGATAAAACTTTTGATCATAGGCAAGACTATCTTTGCAAGAAGTGGGCATGTCATCCAGGGATTTGATGAGCTCCTTCAAGGAAGACTCTATGTTGATGGTTTCTGGTGTTGACCGATGTTCTTGGGCATCATCGTCACTTTGGCTCAGTGAACTATTTTTACAGCATTTATTCTCTACATCCTTTGTGGCCACTTCAACTTCCTGTGATCTCGACACCTAAAGAAAAATACCAGTGAACTTTAGTGTATAGTACAAGCCTAAAACCCAAGAGGAGGTCTAAAAAGGATTCCTCTTTGCCTACCTTCTTGTTATCACATTCCACAACATGTTTGAAGCAGATTTGATCCTCTGCATCCTTTGTGGTTTCTTCTGTTACACATGTCTCAGCAACACTGGAAAAGTCCAACATTGGTGAAGTGTCGACTTTCTTCTCTGGTTCCAGTTCTCTTTGAGGACTAATAGATGGTTTTTTGGCAGCAACGCGGCGATTCCGGAGATTGTAAGGACTCCGAGTCACTTTAACCTCCTCAACATCCAACTGGTCGTCCTCGTCTAGCTCTAAAAGAGGACAACGGTTCAGACAGTGTAAAATTTTGATTAGATTACACTGATCACGCTTTGTAACTTGCAAATCAAAACAGCAGTGCATGAAAGGTTTGGAAAGCCAACCGATGTGCTCTAGTCACAAAAGTACGTACAATTTTATCACATTCAACTCCAAACTGGCAAAATTAATAAAGCCTTAATTTAGTATTTTATGGAAAGCAAAAAACAGTTTTGGAAACCAGATTTAAAATGTAATCGCCTTTAAACTCACCTTAAGCATTCCAAAACAGAAGAATCTTAGAATTTTTTTAACGTTATTATTGAACTGCTTTAATATTTAAATTCCATACAGATACCACTATGACAAGAGAAGGGCCTGACGAATTGCCCATTATCCAACTTTGTACTCTTCAAGGTAGGGCTGGGCAATGCAGCCTAAAATCAATATCACGATATATTGAGGATTTCACCTTGATAACGATAAATGGACGATAACTACAGGTTTGCGCAGAAACAAAAGTTGTCCACTAGGTGGGGCGGTCACGTATTAAGTTGATTCACAATTTTACATGACCAAGGTTGTACAGCTTTTTAAAAGGGACATGAACGTTGCCAACCTACACATTTTTTTTATTAGCAAATTTATTGACAAGAGAAATTCTCAAGAGTCAGACATTTTGATAATACATTTGATTTATTGCCCAGACCTACTACAAGGTACAGCTTTAGGTAAGCAAAAACTGAAATCAATGCCAAGAAGTTATCTTGCCAATCTTCAGTTCGGTGATTTTGTTCAGTATGGTGGATGTAAATGTTAACAGCCGCTTCAAAAACTGATTTCACATTTTAAAAAGGAGTTTTGTGAAAATGATAACTTTCAGTTTGGAGCAGCAGATCAGAAACACGCTTCAATAAGGTTCTAAAATAGGTGTCAAACTCAGTCCTGATAATCAGTCCATGCAAGCAACTTTAAAACCTGTACATTTCAATACAATTTACAATTCATCCAAGCGAATTATGAAATTCAAAAAGAAAACAGGGTCCTAACATTAAATGTGAAAATTAGTGAGTGTTGCAAATGCATTTCAATTCATTAATGCAATTAAAGTTTTGCAATTAGCCCCAAAGACGTTCACTTGTTTATCAGAACTCATCTTCATTTCTCCAAACTGAGGCTAGGCTTGTCCAGATAATAAGAGCCAAGCTTTTGGTAGGTAAGAATAAAGTTCTGAGCTCAAAAATGTGGTAGACTATTTGGGAGAGGAGGTTGAGATGGTGTGAGAGGGGTTGCCCTTAAACTGTAGAGAACGAAGCAGCACACCTAAAGAGCTTTTCTAAACAAGACAATTGATAAACTAGGGGCTTAATGAGATTATTTCACATTTCCCCAGCAAACCCAATAACATGACTAAAGTGAACATATATAAAAGACTACACTGAAAATAACAATAATAATAAAATAAAACGTTCTCTTCTACACCCACAACACAGCCAGAATAGTACCTGTTGACTTCTGACGGCTGCGTGATGCCTCCAGGCTCGGTTCTGGTTCCGGATCGGACAGCGACGCGTGCCTCCTGCTGCTGCGGTCCACAGCTCCAGCCGCGGCCTTCCTCCGCTTCCCCCTGACGGTCCGGTAGATGATGAGCCCAGCCACCACGGACACCACCGCTATGACTGCCACGGCCACAGCGGGACCGTGCCGACCGACCATACAGAAGAGCGACGCCAGATCCGTGCGTTTATCCATGGACACCGGGTTGTCCTTTAGCTGCACAAAACCGAACCTAACAGAACAGAGAGCTGGTTCCAAAAGTGGCGTCTGAGCGCGCGAGAGTCACCGCAGAAAACCACCGTGGCCACCGACACTCCCGTTACATCGGACGTGGGTGCAAGGCGACGACTAATTGCTCCTAAAGAGCAGTGAGTGGCTGCAGGTGCGAACGTCTCATTGGCTGGCTGGGTCACGTGGGCGCTGATTACATTGCCAAAGTGACGAGCCTGTTTGGAAGTTGATGTGATCAGTGAAAATCCTGCCGATAAAAACTCAGTTGTTCATTTTTTTAATTATCAACGCTACGCATTCTTAGCCAGGAGTGAACAGTTAAATCTGTAAATAATGTGTCTGACATTTACTATGTAGCCTGACTACTGCAGAAGCTATAGCCGTAGGTAAAAGTTTTTCGTAACGGTCATTTGATGAATTTATTAATTAAAAATGTCTAAAGTGTAAGTAAAAAAAATCACTTTTTCCACTGTTTAAATGGAACTTGTGTGAAACAGCTCTACCTAGTGGGGACTCGTGGTAAGTTGCCTACTAGAAACGTCTTGAAAATACCGGTAGATTATTTATTGATGAAAATAACTTTTACAAAACGATTCAGGAACTTCATTATTATTATTTCAGCAACATAAGATGGAGTACGTAATTTTTACAAACAAAAAAGAAAATAGAAAATGTGGCTTGTGGAACAGAAAATTTGCAATCTTTTGGTAAATTATGGCAGTTTTCTGATTCATTCTAGTTCAAAAAGAAGTAAAAAACCGGTGTAGCATTCTTCTATTTACAAGTATGAAAAACATTTAGTCTCGAAAACTGGAAGTTTGACTGAACAATAGAAATGCATGATAAAATGACTTTTTTGTATAATTAAACTAAGCTAAAATTGGGTTAATGAACAACACAAGAAGTGTTTTCTGTGATTAAAACTAAATGCATTTTCTGTAACAAACTCACAGTTTTACTAGAAGGTTGTGTGGTGTCGCATCTAAATAGTTCTGGGCGGAAAAACATTCTCACTCTGTTAGATAACTTTGTTCAGTGATAAAAAAGTTAAACAAGTCGAGTCTGGTAAAATTGGGTTATTAAGCAACACAAAATGTGTATTCAGTAAATAAGTTGTAAACAAAATGTACTTTATGTTTTAAACTCACATTTTTTAAAAGAAGGTGTGTGGTGTCACATCTAAATCGGTCAAAATGAAAACATTTCTCACTTTTTGTCAGTAAGTCCCTTTGGTCAGGAAAAAAAAAGTGAAATAAGGTTGGAAAGTATACATAAATGAACTTACCACAACTTGTTGCTCAACAGCTAAATGTAGGGTGGCTGAAAGAGGACATAACAGCAGACAGATGTCTTATCCTTAAATCTGTTATCCTTGGAGGTGCACAAGTATGTGGATGTATTTTGCACCATTTGTTTTGGCTCAATTGGTGCAAAACTGCAACTGTACGATTTTTTTGTTGTGTGACTCAACAAATAAAATGTGTGTACTTGAAACAAAGACTTTGAATAGGTGAAGCTGTTGCTTTGTACCTGTGAAAAATGGGATTTTTCTGAAATTTTCTCCATAACTTCAAGTTCCCAGGGACAAAACACAAATGTTATTGCTCCAAATGTACCTCCACAGTATCTTGTGTCTATATGTCACTGAATAAAGTTCCATTAGGTTTGATCTGAAATAGATGTTATACAATAATTTAAAAATAGAAAATTAAACCTGCTGACTTGCTGCACATCTAATGTTTCATTTAGATCAGTCCAATCAGCAGAGCTCCAGATCTGACCAGAATGATGTAGAATAATGGTCAGGACTCTTGTGAAACATTACCACCTGGTGGACATGTCTAGTATTGACCAGAACCTTCCTGAAGACTGTGGACCTCCTCCTGTTAGAATATAAAGCTGAGACACTGCCACTGCTGGGACAGAAAGCTAAACAGAAGAGTACCAAGAGCTGAACAAGGATTATTCTCACCAGAAGACTAACTCAACGACCATGATGTCTTCTCATGCAGAGAGTTCTGCTCTCAGACCGATGATGGACTTCTGGCCTGTTCGCAGTCTGTGGCCAGAGGTCAGACCTTTGTTCTACCCGCAAGATGTCCTCCAGAGAACCCTACAGGAGCTGCACAGCAGCCTGGAGCTGATGGACAGATTTCAACACCAGATCCTGGAGGACACAGATCCTTTCAGGAGCACACTGGTCCACAAACCAGTCTCCTACCAGCTGGACAAAGAGGGACAAGACTTTGGCCTGACACTGGACACTCAAGGCTTTTCTCCAGAGGAGCTTTCAGTCAAGCAGGTGGGCAGGAAGCTGAGAGTCCGTGGAAGGACAGAGAAGAAGCAAGAGGACGGGAAAGGCTCCTACTCTTACAGACTCCAGGAGTTCAGACAGGAGTTTGATCTGCCTGAAGGGGTGAACCATGAAGCTGTCAGCTGCTCCCTTTCTCCAGATGGAAAGCTCCACATCCAGGCAGCCAAAGTTCCAAGTGTTGAACAGGCTGAGAGAGAGCTGCCTATCAAGAGGAGCTCGGAGGAGGAAACACAGCAGAGTGTGTGTTCACAGGCAGAAGACAGCCGCCCAGAGACATCCAGCAGGTCTTAGAGCTCCAGCCTGGATCATGGACCCATGAACGTGTTGGTGAACCGATGACAAGTGGTTCTATTCTTTGTTAATTATTAATGTTTCTATCACATCAATTACTTTGTCTTTTCTTATTGTACCTGGTGAATGTTGATGAATAAATCTGAACAACATCTGTGCTAGTTTCTGTTAATCATTAATGTTTCTAATAAATTAATGACTGTAATTTCTAATTCCACCAACCTGGATCATCGTCTCCCATTTAATCTAGTTGGTGTCTTGCTTTGTTACTGAATATTATTTTCCCAGTTAGTCTAACCAGTGTGCATCGTGTCTACCATAACTTACAACATCTGCTTCAGAGAGCTGTACAGCAGCGCTGTGGTTAGCATTGTTGCCTTGCAGCAAGAAGGTCCTATAGGTTCACATCCCGACCTGGGGTCTCTCTGCAAGGAGTTTGTATGTTCTTCCTTTGCATGCGTGGATTCTCTCCGGGTACCCCAGCTTCCTCCCACAGTCCAAAAACATGATTGTAAGGTTAATTGGTTTGTCTAAATTATCCGTGTGTGTGTGTGTGTGCGCGCGCGCTTGGTTGTTTGTCCTGTGTGTCTTTGTGTTGCCCTGTGATGGACTGGCAATATGTCCAGGGTGTACTTTGCATCTTTGGTCATTGACTGCTGGAGATAGGCACCAGCCCCCTGAGGTCTAGTCCACAGTAGCCGGGTTTTTAAAAAAACGAATATCCGCCCCTCCAAAAATTTGCATCCACACCACCTTGTTTTAAAACAAAACTCTGTACACACGTACCCGGATAAATACGTTGTTAAGGACATGCCAGACCTGTAGGCGGCAGTACTTCCCCCGTTCTTAACCTCGTCCTTCGTCTGTGGTCTTCCGCAAGGAGCAGTAATTCCGCTTTCAAAAACAAACAAGCAAAAAGCGCTTGGACAATTGATAAAGCGAGCGCAGCTCTGAGGGCATCCATGCTGTCGGCTAGTGTAAACACAGGTCGCACACGTGATGTCAGCATTTTTTTGTCGCGGAAAGTGACGTTGCAGACCTTAAAACTCCGTCCGGTTTTGTCCGTCCACACGCAGACACCCAAAACGGAAAAAACGCAGATCTTCACTTTGGCCGGAGTTTTTAAAAAGATCCGTTTTCGTGTGAAAAAAAAATCCGTTTTCGTGTGAATGACAGGCCAAAACGTAGAAAAATATCTACGTTTTGGCAGATCCCCGGCTACGTGTGGACAGGGCCTGAATCCCTGCATGGACAAGCGGGTTCAGATAATGGATGGATGGATCTTCTTCAGACTGAAAGTCAATACTTTAAAGTGACAGTGTGTATTATTGTCTGTTGTTAGGGGGCAGTACATACCTAATTCGTTACAAGCAAGCAGCATTTTTGTTGAAGTAAGACCTTACCAATGGTAAATCCCTATGAGCATGACCACCGACAAAATGACAAACACATCAGACTCCCTTCGTCACTGGTAACTAGGGAAGAGGTAAATGTGTAAAACAGCATTTATAAATGGAAAAATTTTTGTTACCATTTGTTACAAATCAGTAAGTGCATTTTGTCCTCATGTGCTCCTGTAAAAGGAAACAGTATGTCTAATATGATGTCACCCAGAGACTTAGGCCTAATCCCAATAGAGCTCCGGGAGTTGACGTCACGTTTCCCGGCATGCAACAGTTCAAATCGAAACGGCGCCATTTGGCAGGCAGAAGCCCGCAGCTGGGCTATTTGTTATTGTCAGAAAACTCAATCAAACGGGAAATATGGTAGATTCCTGTTGTGCCCCAGGATGCAGAACAGACGCGGACGACATAAGGAATGAGCCATCTACAGGATTCCCCAACATCCGGAGCGCCACAAACGTTGGATCATTGTAATAAAAGGCGTTAGTGACCGGGCTAAAATGAAACTGTGGGATCCCGAGAGTAAAGGTTTTAGCTTATGCAGCGACCACTTCATATCAGGTACTTAAACCAATGTTTCCTCAACTGTGTATGGTATTTATTTTAAACGCTTTTATTGCGATTCTTAGTGGGCTTCCTAAACTTATTTTGGCGTGGCTTTTTCTGTCTTATTACTCATAGCAACAAGTAAACATCACGTAAAACGTTGCCTCGTGAGTTCTGCGTGCTGCCGTTTACGTGTTTTATGATCACAGCAGTTAACCGGCTAAGCTGTATTTAATTTTTAAGCAATGGTTGATCAATTGTCAGATCACACATCAAAAGCACTTTGGATTGCTCTTATCTGTCTCACCGAGACAGATCTCAGACAGATCCTGAGACGCTCCTGCCTGACATATTTATTTTATTCACGGAAAAAAATCAAACTAGTGATTTCTCTTGGCGTTCAGTTTATACATTCAAACAGCACAGCACAGCACTCTATTTAAACTACTTACATGTAAATCTGTTATTTGTCCATCCATCCATCCATTTTCATCCGCGTATCCGGAGTCGGGTTGCGGGGGCTGTAGCGTCGAGAGTCCCTGACTTCCCTCTCCCCAGCCGCCGGAGCCAGCTCCTCCGGGTAAATCCCAAGGGGTTCCCCGGCCAGGTCCGGTAAGAAGCCCGCTCCGACAGCTTCTGGCGTTTTTAAAAAGTATCCCAGGGGCACGGTAAGGGTCGGAGATGTTTAGTCTATTTAATTTCTGACTATATAAAACGATTTCTTCGGTTGTAAAGTGTGAAGTAAACTCCGACGAAGTAAAATCCAAGCGGATCCCGTTCACGTTCATGGTTACGTCCGTGTTTGTTTACCTTTTTTTCCTGCCAAAATGGCGTCTTCTAACTGAGAGTCACGTGGGGTCCGGAGCTCTATACTCACACTTTCACACTTGCCACCTTCAATTGCACGGCCCTGGCCAGGGGTGAGTGTGCGTAGAGTGCAGGCCCCCACAATACAGTTCTGAAATTGAGTCAAACCCGGAAGTGAAATAAATTGCAGTTCCATCCTCATCCGCTGGGGGCTGGTGTCAGAAGCGAGCAAATCCTCATTGACTCCCATGTTAAAAATACCAATTTCACAGCAGAAATAAACATGTTTACAGCCTGGTACCAAAACATGTTTTTGGTTTAAATTATCTAGTTTACACTCATGACAACTCTGAGGGGGTGAATTTTTTTCTCACTCTTCTGTTTAAGTGTATTAAAAGCCTAAAATTCTGTATAATTAATGAGCATCAGACCCACGTGACCACAGAGCTAGCTCAGTGGAAAGGCCTCAGTAGAGCCTTGGTCTGGCTTGGAAACTGCTCTGGGATTTTGAGTCTCTGTGTTTGTGTATTCGTTTTTGGATATTAATTGTGCAATTGTTGGATAAAATGACTTGCTGTGGCATTAATTGCACTAATAGAGCGTCCAAGGAGTCTCCACTTCATTTTTTTCGGTAAGTAAAATTATATTTATGTATTTTAGGTCACTGTCGAGCTGAGCTTAGATTTTAACATGTACTGTTTAACCATGAAATTTAAATGTAATAGGGTAAAACCCAGTGCATTTAACATAATGCTGCACTTTAGAAAATGGGTTGAAATATAACATGTTGGTGGAGCTGGGTTCCCACTATCGGCTTGTGGAGCTCTCGGGAGACCGATGTTTTCCACCCGTTCTCGCCTCCCCGCAGCTCGGCGCATCTGTCTGATTGCGGCTTCTGTTAGCTGCGCGGGCTGACGGCTGGTCCTTATGGCAAGCCAGAACCGCCAAAATACGCCACTTCTTCCCGCAGCTCGGCGCATCTCTGTCTGATTGCGGCTTCTGTTTGCTGCGCGGAATGCCGGCTGTTTCTCCCTGCAGCTCGGCGCATCTCTGTCTGATCGCGGCTTCTGTTTGATGCGCCGGGCTGCCGGCTGGGTCTCCCGGCAGCTCGGCGCATCTCTGTCTGATCGCAGCTTCTGTGTGCTGCGCGGGCTGACGGCTTGCGGAGCTCTGGGATGGAAACCTTTTCACCCGGTTCTCCCCAGCGGCAGCTCTGCGCATCTCAGATTGCAGTGGCGCTTGTCTGCTGTGCGGCTGCCGGCTTGTGGAGGTCTCCGAGACATCTGTGGAGGTCTCGGAGACCTCTGTGTTTCACCCGGTTCTACCCAGCGGTCAGCCTGGCGTATCTCTGACTCAGAAGCTCTGGTGTTGTGCACAGTTAACTCCGGTTGTAGCTAGGTTGCTACCTCCATTAGCTTAGCTCCCACCTCCGCATTAGCTTTGGGTTAGCTTCAGGTTAGCTTGTAGCTAGTTCAACCGGGTGTCGTCAGTCGATCCCAGCCTTACAGCCCCACCCTCAGCTCCACCTCTCTTCCCTTTTATGGAATTGTCTGGGCTTAACGGAACCCGTGACACGGTCAAAATGGTGGTGGTGGCCACCTCCCATTTTAGCAGAAAAACTTGTTATTGGAGGCTATGGAAATCCATTGTCCATATATTTATGTTGATGGTAGCGTGTCCTGATTCTCATGTACGGAAGTTGATCATGCCTCTTTTACACCCTTGACCCTCCATTCAACCAAGTCCACCTCTACATGGACTTGGGTGAAGGGTATTACCCACAGTCCATTGCTGCATGAGAAAAGGCTCAAGTGCCATTTCTGAAAATATATATTTTCAAACCAAAGTAGTTAATTTTAGGACAATTATTTCATACTCCGAATGTTTTAGACCAGGGGTGTCAAACTCATTTTAGCTCAGGGGCCACATTGAGGGAAATCTAGTCCCAAGTGGGCCGGACCGGTAAATAAAAAAAACAACTTCAGATTGTTTTCTTTGTTTTAATACAATCAATATAAAACAAGCCTGGAGCCTGAGGACAGTGTACACCTGAAGTGTACTTGAAAATTTGAAAAAAAAAAATAAAAAATCAATACATAATAAAAAATTCCTTAGTGATTCAAAGAGCTTATACAGATCACATGGCAAGATCAGTTCCATGCAGCACTTAAAGTATATTTGACTCATTTTACTTTACATCTTTTAGCTTTCACCAGCACATCAATATCAGAAGTCACATCCTGAGTGGCAGCCAACTTCAGGATGGGATTCCAGTTCTTGTGTGAGCCTTGAGCGCAGCTTTGTTTTATTAATACTCGTTACAGAGAAAACTTGCTCACAAAGATAAGTTTATTTTCACTCTACATTGTAAAGTATGAAAATAAAGTTTTCACAACCATCTCGCGGGCCGGATTTAACCCGCTTGCGGGCCGCATCCGGCCCGCCGGCTGCATATTTGACACCCCTGTTTTAGACAAAGCAGCAATGAATGTAAATTTGTTTCAAATAATTGTTTGGTTGTTTCTTTGAAAGTTGTTAATAAAGTTGTATTTTTTAAAAGTAGCACAGTGACCAACATCATATGTGTGTTGCAGTCGATGCACTTCTGCAAGTGTTTGCACACTTCTGAATCCCGCACTCAAAGCCTTACTGTGCACTTCCTCCAAGTGCACTTCACAAAAGACCGTAGGGCACAGGTGCGAGTACTGGGATGGGGCTTGTGACCCACTCCCATGTATTTTACACCCAATTTTTATGGTTATACTTTGCAAAGCCACCAATATTTTTCAGCTACTGGGCACCATTTAACACATTTTCAACAACATTGTGATGAATTTTACAAGAGATTAATGATAAAAACTACACAGTTTCCCTTTAAAATCATCAAGTAGCCGATAGAGACAAAATCTCATGTATTATGACAAGTGTGTCAAACATTAAATCATTAATAATTAACTATTTTAATCTACCAACAGCCTCTTGGAGGAAATTCAGATGTATAATAGAAGAGTATTATGAGCTGCATTAATTTACGAAACAATTTGTTACAGTAGTTCACAACTGTTATTGTAATTTTAATTAATTTCCACTAGATGGCAGCACTTCAATGTATAATCCTCACATGCAAGTTTTTTTTCTTTCTTGTAACTTTTTCTCACTAAATGTCTTTTCATGTGTTCCCACTAAAACGACTGGTCATTTATGTTGTTGTTTTTATGTTTTAAGTTATTTTATCACTGCCATACATTTATTTTGTAAAGTGGTGACAAAATCACCTA